GCACTTAACAACAACAACAACAATATATATATATATGAATAATACTCACCAGCCCTATGCCAACCCCTCTGGCTTAGATTAGGAAAAGATGACAAGGGATGTTATTGGAATGGGGTTATATTTAAAGCGAAATCCTGGTGGTCGCTGTACGATAGGTGCTGGACTGATAACCACAAGGTGGCTCTTTCAAACCCACCAGCCCCTCCTTGAAAGCCCTATATATGGTTGCTATGCATGGGAACCAACCCTGTGGCACTTAACAACAGTAATAAAGGTTGGAAGCATCAGAGAGCAGTCTATTCATTTAAGCCTCATTCTGACTTCTCAGTGGCCTTACTTTCTTCACATAATTAATTAAAATGTGCTTATTGAACACTTACTATGTGCTCATTGTGGCGGCAGATACTGGGATAAGAGCAGGGAAAAATACAACGACATTCCTTTATTCACTTTATTCACTGAACTTAACACTTTAACCCATCTTATGATTTATGCATCATGATTTTCTTATCTGTCAGTATTATGTAGTTTCTCTTTACTCTGCCCTCTTGTACTAGAAACATGAAGAAAAAGGAAGCTGCCTCTCATTAAACACATACAGACCCAGGAACACACATACACACACACACACACACACACACACACACGTATAGATACATGTGCACACACACACTTTTTTTTTTTTTACAGGATATCCTGTCCACAGCTTCGTCTAGCTAGAAGCATTCTCTTCTGTCCCCAACACTTATCTTCCAGCTACAACCATTCTGATGAAGACAGAGTGGCCTTTTAACACAGAATGCTGGGAAACTCTGTGTTTGAAATAAAAAGGGAAGTAATTGACAACCAAGTCTTACAAACCTTTCTTTGATTTATTTGGACAAAGACAATTGTTCTTTCTACCCTCTTTCTGCCATTTGCTTTTTATTTATTTGTTTTTTTCAACTTCTCAAGCCTAACAAAAAATAAGAGTGGGATACACAAAAGTTGAAGATTTTGAAAACATCAGAGTCGAACCTCTGTATCTTTTATTTATTTATTTTATTGTTGTTGTTGTTAAGTGCCGTCGAGTTGGTTCCGACCCATAGCGACCCTGTACAGGGTTTCCGAGGGTGTAAATCTTTACGGGAGTAGAATGCCTCATCTTTCTCCCGCGGTGCGGCTGGTAGTTTCGAACCGCTGACCTTAAGGTTCGCAGCCCGATTCGTAACCACTATGCTACCAGAGCTGCCTTTAAATCATATCATTGATTCATTTATCTGTTTATTAGCTGAGTACTGGACTGCTAATAGTAAGGTTGGCAGTTCAAACCCACCAGCCACTCCTTGGAAACCCTGTACACCCACCAGCCACTCCTTGGAAACCCTGTACAGGATTGCTATGAGTTGGAACTGACTCGAAAACGTAACAACAAAAACAATAACTGACTTAACAATTCATTAATATGTAGTTACATGTAGTACAAAAGTTAATATGCTTGGCTGCTAACTGAAAGGCTGTTGGTATGTGTCCAGCCAGAGGTGTATCGGAAGAAAGTCCTAATTATCTATTCAAAAAAATCAGTCATTGAAAACACCATGGAGCGCAGTTCTACTCTGACACAGATGGAGTCACTGGGAGTTGGAGCTGATACTATGGCAACTTTTTTTTTAAAGTTAATTAACTTGTCCTTGTTACATAAGTTGGAGTCCCTAGTTCTGGATGGCACACATGGTATGCTGAAGGGTTGAAGGTTGAACCCACCTAGAGGCATTTCAGAAGACAGGTCTGGCAATCTCCATTGGAAAGGTCACAGCCTTGGACACCTGTGAATTCGTTAGACTCTGCACACACGGAAGCAACACGAGTCGCGACAACAGTTATCTAAGTGCTATACGGAAGTGGATCATAAAACGTTTAGTCCTATCTTAGTGAGGATCCAAGTCACTCATGGTGGTGTTGTTGTTGTTAAGTGCTGTTGAGTTGGTTCCGACCCAAAGCAACCCTGAATAGGGTTTCCAAGGACAGACTGGTGGGTTTAAACTTCAGACCTTGTGTTAGAAATCCAATGCTGATCGTACAGCACTACACCTGGACTCAGAGTCACTTGGTGTTGTTGTTATTAAGTCAGTTCTGACTCATAGTGACCCTGTATAGGCGTTCCAAGGAGCAGCTGGTGAGCTTGAACCACCACTAGCCTTGCAGTTCAAACTGACCCTGCATTCCAGCACATTAACCCTCAGCACCACACCAGTGAACAGTCTTTTGTGGCCTCTGCTCAAACCCCCTCTTTCCCATTAGCCCCTTGAAGTCTCTGGCTCCTCCATCCTCCAAGCATCTTGTTTCTCCACCATCCCCCATCAACATCCTTCCTCCTCATCCTGCAGCTGATTCTTACACAGTAGTTCCCATGTCTCCTACAAGAACTGAGTTTATGTTCACAAGTGCATTTAAGTGCTTTGCTACCTAGTAATTTCCTCTTATGCAGGAAGATATGTATAATTTTTAAACCAGTAAAACTGTAAGGACCTCATGCGGTTACCTGAATCCATTCTATTTCTCACAGATTTTCTCTCTACATCATACACCCGAGTTACTTAGCTTCCACCTACACTCAAGCACCTTCCCAACATCCATCCAGTTTTTGTTTACAGTTTCTATAGTTCTTTGGCTTTCTTTCTCCCTGTGCAGACATCTATTTAATGGCAAATACAGTTGCATCAGGAACATTAGCTACAAATTTGATATATATACAGCAGTATGTACAGATTATATTTATAGTTGATGAATAGGGTCTGCCTGCTTGGCTATTAAATCAAAGCCTTTTCTAACAATCAAAGTGAAGATCTTATTGCTTATATAGGCTGTGAAGATCTGGTAGTTTTACTTGAAATTTTGTTCGTAGTTCACTTTCCAGTTTGTAGAAAGGATGTCAACTGAAATCGGAAGTTAACTTGTCCTCACTCCATAACTTTGAATGACTCTCAGTAATTTTTTTTTCACTTGGAAGGTCTTTATCTGGGTACTCATCAATAAATGGTCCTATTTTTGTCTCGGACTGAATCAATCATACATTTGTTGGCTTTATAATACAGTTATTGAGTTGTATTCTTCTAAAAGGAACCCTGTTGGTGCAATGGTTAAGTGCATGGTTCGAACACTCCAAGTTGCTCTGCAGGAGAACGATGTGGTAGTACCAGTCTGCTTCGCTAAGGCTGACAACCGTGGAAACCCTATAGGGCAGCCCGGTTGATTATTTTTGGTGTTTTGCAATAACACCTGAAAAGCTTCTTTTCTTACTGATGTGGTTTATTGAAGTTAGTAAATAATGTGTCTGGGGATTGCCTATTGATATGCACAGGTGTTGGGAAAGGAGGGGGTGGCCCTCTGATGAGCTCAGTCCAGTTTTAGAAGTTGTCTCCTTGGGTAACTGCATCTCTGGGTGGTGACATTTCTCTCAGGGACAATGCAGAAAAAGGTAATTAAGTTTAATAGAAACTCCTGTGTTCTGTGGCGACCCTCAATTTAAAAGTGCAGGGGTAAGTAATTAAGGATAATGAGAGAGTTGGTTTCTAAACAA